CATCATATTCATGAATATTCATTAAGGGGGTTACACTTATCAAAAATCCAAAAATCCCTTAAAATTATCTGTCAATCGATTTCTTCATTTTTGATTACAAATCTCATGTTGATATTATTTAATATAGATTCCAAACTTATAATTGTTTTGATTCAACGAGAAAATCCAAAGAAGATTCCTTTAGTCATAAAATAGTGGCTTCAATCTTAGAAACTTTTTTTAAAGACCCACAAACAACATATGTTTGGTAAGTTCTTTTAAAAAATTTTTTTGTGCCAAATAAAGTGCCTTAAAATAATTGATATTACATTATTTATCTTATAAGGGCAAATGAAACATTGGAAGCATCAGCAATTAGAAAAAGAAAATTTGATGGCTCATTACAAGGAAAAAAACCAGACTTTGTTGTGAATACAAATATGCCATCAAAACAACATTTATTAATAGTAGAGATAAAGCCACCGAAACATGCTGCAAATGACAGCAAGAGAGAAGATCTTGTTAAACTGGGTAACGAAATGAAGGACTCAATAGACAAGATGATAAATGACAAAATTGATGGTAATAATTTAGCTGTTTGTGGTCTTCTGATAGAAGGCAAGTAATAATGATTATTTATTTAGCAGATATAGGAGTTTCAATAGATTTAACAGATGTAATCTTGTCAACTAGGCTTTAGATCCACTCTATTTGTAATGGATCTCAAATATCATTCACTCTATAGAATGATCCAATTAGGTGTTTTTTATTTACCTCAAGATCGCCACAATTTTGGTGTTCTTCCTGATGCATTTCAGATTCTTTTGCAAGCACAGGTTAGTACTGATATTCTATCACAAGATTCTGTTGGTTTAACTTGAAATTTAAAGTTTTAGTAACAATATGTTAATTATTAAAGGCTATTGTAAAAAAGACAGCTGATCATTGTATATCCACCATCAATCAAAGAATTTTATCCTCTTCTCCTAAAATCCCATCTTATCATGCCTCTATGATACATCCATCATTCCATGCACCAATAAAACTTCCATTATCAAAAGTAAGTTCTACTTTTTTTATTTCTTTAACTGCAAATTCAAAGAATTGACATTGTGTTAAATTGGTTTCTCGTTACTGTATTTCCTGCTAAATGGAACACCTATAAAGTGGAACATGTTATGGAACAAAGAAGATAATTCTAAATCCTAGATGGACTAAAATTGAAAAATAAACATATCACTTGGATCTTTTATTTGTTGTTAAGTCAAGCTTTTCATTTTCTATCAGGATAAAATTTTATACCTTGATTTTACATGAATAATAAGAATCAGTGCATTTATTTCTATTTAAGTTCTTTCATCGGAAATCTTTTTATTTCTTAATTATCTCTTATGAAGTAGCACTACATAAATTTCAATTCACCAATATTGGCAGTAACATGAAATAAAATCAAATCTTAAGTTTTACACACTAATGAGGCAAATGTATTCTGAATAAAGTGTTCACTTTGTCTGGTTTTGTTGCAGTATGCCCCATTTAAGGAAAGATGAACCAGTCAAAACCCCAACCATAATAGAAATAATGGCACAGAGTTATGTTGGCAGATTGGAACAGCAGAATAAAGATTTAAAACAACAACTAGCCAGTGCTA